ATGGACCAGCGAAAGATAAGTCGATAGCGTTATAGCAGCGCCAAAGATGTAAAACTTATTTTGTTATTTTTGTAAAATTGTAATGTAATGAAAATGCCTTTTTTTTGTTAAATAAAATCTGTTAAATTTTTGTGTTCTGTTTGTTCTTCTATCCTCTAGCCATGCCATGGTCGACACACAGCTACACGCCTGTAGATGTCTTCATGCCACCGACTGAGCTACCGGAAGCTAATTGTAACCCCCTTTCTGTGATTGTGCAGAAAAGTTGGAATCTTCATTGCATTCCATCTTTTCTGGACTTTTTGCGGAAAGGAAGCGTTACAGAGTGATTCCCAAAAATTGAATTCATGTTATCTTTTATTTTTCAAGCATTCATAGGGAAGACACAGCAACCACACACAGCACAGCTTTGGGAGAAGTTGAATTTCATTTTGTCAAAGAAAATTAACCGAAAAAGAATCCCTTAGTCATGATGATAAGCGATACTAATTTAAATGAAAGACTTTAAATGAACATATCCGAAAAACTGCTCTTGTAAAAAAGGTTGCATGAAATTCTCTAGTCAAAATGCCAGGTATTGGATGAAACTGTAAGTTACTACTGTGTTGATATGTGGTAGTGTCACGATCTGGGTTGTTTTCAGTGAAATCACTGAATCACTGATACCAAACAGTTGTACTAAACGATTTGATTATAATGTGTTTAGAATATAGGACCCCTTCAAAATGAAGTTGGCACTTTCCTTTCCACAACGTACCTACAGTTCATCCAACAATAAGTAACCTTCAAAGTAACACATAATATCTAACCCGTAAAATATCCGAGATAGCTCCACAAAAATCTAAGTGGGCCAGTTCGGTTCTAAATCGAATGTGAAGAGGTACGAAGCGCTAGCAGCTGAATCCAAATCAGGCGCCGGGGGTGTGTTGGTCAACCTAGTTAGAAATCGGATTGGAAAATCCTAAATTAGCATATTCCTATAGCAATAACGCAATTATCGATTTGATGTTAGTTTATCGTGAACGTCAGGAATACACTAGTGATAATTCGTGAGTGTATTCAGATCACTGTCCTGGATGGTTCCATCTGGAGCTGTATAGGTTTATTTATATCGTGCAAAGGCTGTCGAAGTGGACACCGTAGATGACCTATCTAGACAGCTCCACATGTTCCATTTTTTTGAAGAAGTAAGCAAACTAGTGTTTTCGAATCGGAAGTAGTATTCACGAATAAAACATGTGAAATGATACTTGAAATACCGAGTAATTTTCTATTTTACTACACATTTGCGTCTTTATTTCAAACGTAGAGTTGTTTCTGAAGAATCAAGTTCCAACTTCAAGGACATCCTGTATTTTTTGATAGTTTTCGGATGGTTTTTCGAATGTAACCACATTTTAAGCATATAATCTCTGTAATATAGGACTGAAAAATAATATGTTTCTTATAACAAATTTTAAACTGAGTCATCTTCTAACATAGATTCATATGAACCTCTTCTCTTGAAATCGTCAATCATCCACTGGAACTCTTTTAATCATACTGAAAGCTACAAAGTGAGGATGGAAAATTGACAAAAAAAACAATTAATATCCATTGACAAAACGAGTGTGCTCATACTTTGCATAACCGATTCCTACTATCACCTGTACTAAAAGTATTGCAGTAAGCTCTACAATTTCATAACAAGTTTTTCTTGTCAGAACACATTCCTGTTGGTGCAAACAAGGTAAGCCCACTTCCATTTCAGCAGCATTCGTAGCACTTTTGCTATTTTCAGTCATCACGCGTCAACTCTAATTTTCCTCGCTTTCGCATTGCAGGCAGTATAAACAGCGAAGCTGAGCGGCGGAGTTTTCCCCCAAAGGGAAAAAAGACAAAAGGGCCCTAATGTAATCGAAAACGGCTGCTCAAGGGAGTCAGCTCTTTTTCTTTGCAGGAGACGTCGTTGTCGTCTTTTCCTTTGAGCATTGTTACTTAGAAGTAACTGATACGGTTTCTGTTACAAAATAGCTCTTAGTTTAGCCTATTTACTGGGTCTCGTACTCGTTTCACGAGTATGTTAAATAAACAATGGAAACGGTGGGAATACTTTATACCGGTACTATTTTCCGGATAGCGCTTAAATGGTATCCTAGACAATAAATAAGTGATTCATCAAAAATTTTCTTGTAGATGAACATTTAGTTAAAAGTGGCATCAAGAAAACTGACTGCATTTCCCACGCGACGCCCTTATCAGTACATACAGGAATATGTTCAACACAAACTAGACCATCTGTAAAAAAGTCAGTTAAACAGGTCCATACAATTAGTCCATAGACATTCTTTCCCTGCTCTACCGGTAGTGCACCTGGAAACGTCGCCTCCCCCCATACCTAACTCATTCAGACGTGGCACCGTGGAAGCGTAGCAATATGTGTTTCCATACCAGAACCCCAATCACGGTCGCCACACGACGCCCGCAGCAGCCACAGCCGATAGGACTCGATTCGTCTCCCGAGAATATGTTAAAATTTTCAGGGCCAATGTACAGATAAATCTATGATGTGTGAAAAATGTCTAATGGGTGCGTACCTATGTAGATAGCGTATAAATGTGCTGCCTTTAGTTAAGAGAAAAACCCTTCCCACTCACTTACAATCCCCACCTCTACGTTTCTTTACCTCTAGATTTTTGACAAAAATGATCAGGATCCTGTGAAACGTCAAAAAAACTAAGTTTGAGTTATTTTTACTTTTATCGTTTTGGGCCTTTTTTCTGCCGCCACTGTACCGATTTTTAAAAACTACTCAGCTGTTGCGTCCTTGGCATGGAAGTACCGTTGTGTAAAAATTTCACTGCATTGTGTTACAATACTTCCCCGCCGTTAGGTATATATTATACAAAAGTTTTATATTATGATAAATTATAATGTGTGACTATGGGAAAAAAGTTTACCGAGGAGAAGATACTTTTGATCGAAATACTAGATAAATTTGAAGGTGTCATTGAGGTTTTTTGCTTCCCTGTGCTTGAAGCTGTAATTTGAGGTAGCAGGCAATCCTGATTTTGCATTGTTATTTCATTTACCACAAATAAACCAAACCGTCCCAATGTTATCATCAAAATGCTAAATAGGTACGTCCAGCAGAGAAAATTCTTTCTGACATCGGTAACAGCTTGTGAATCCTCTCAGAAATATACTAAGTGACATATAAATCCGAACACCCAGTTTAAATGGTGGTTAATAAAAGTTGGTGAATGTATTTATCTTACTGTAAATAACAAGTGAAAAAATTTTTAGCCTTATCAGTTGGACATTCCGGTTTTTATACTGCTTTTTTTTAATTCACTAACGCTCTAAAAATGAATATTTCAGCCGCAGTAAAGAATCAACGTTGGCGGATTTTGGTTCTTGACATCCTTTACGATCGGTTACGATGCCTAGAGTACGGAGACCTGTACGATTTCGTCAACTTAACATAGTGAGTTTGATAGGGGCCGTATAGTGGGACTTCGGGAAGCTGGACTTTCTTTTCGGGCAATTGCAGTTAGAGTGCAAAGGAGTGTAGACACTGTGGTTAGGTGTTGTCAGGCATGGCTTCGAGAAGGCCGTACGCAAAGAGCAAGGGGCACTGGACGCCGCCGTAGAACAACAGACCGTGAAGATCGCCGCCTAAGATTATTGGCCTTAATGAACCGTTTCTCCACTACCAGGTCCACTGCAAATGAATGGTTTGCAGAACTCGGAAGACCTATTGGCATGCGAAGTGTTTACCGACGAATGAGAAGTTTTGGCTTGTTTTCATACCGGCCACACTGGGTCCTCCCTTTAACTCGAGAACACCGACGTAATCGCCTTGAGTGGTGCAGACAACGGTCACTCTGGGATCAGGATTGAAACAGTATTGTCTTTAGTGACGAGTCTCGATTTTGTTTAGGCATGCACGATGGTCGTGCCAGGGTTAGAAGGCGACGTGGTGAAAGGAGGAATCCACAGTTTTTTGTTGAAAGACATGTTCATCACACAGTTGGAGTTATGGTTTGGGGTGCTATAGCTTATGGTTCCAGGTCACCTTTAATCTTCATCAGAGGTAACATGAACGTGCAGCGTTATATCCTCGAAGTTCTAGAACCCCGTCTTTTACCCTATCTTGACACCCTGGCAGATCCAACTTTCCAACAAGATAATGCCCGACCACATGTTGCAAGAGTCACAATAGACTTCTTTCAACATAATGATGTCACATTGTTACCTTGGCCACCAAGATCTCCCGACTTATCCCCCATTGAGCACGTGTGGGATATGAGATTGCTCAATTTGCAACGTCCTCCTCAGACTCTAGAAGCACTTCGAGAGGAGTTGGCGGTTGCCTGGAATCAGAAATCACAGCAGGACATTGACCACCTGATCAGAAGCATGCCTAGGCGCGTTGGAGAATGCGTAGCACATCAGGGTGCATCCGCACATTATTAAAGGTCAAAGGGCTTTAAAGCAGTGCAATCATTTTGAAATTTTTATCATTTACTTATTATGCTTCATTAAATGCTTATACAAAATTTTATTAAAATAAAACCATTTAAACTGGGTGTTCAGATTAATATGTCACTTAGTATACATATCGTTTTCAAAGTAATTTCCAAATAGAGGTTCTTTGCCTTTTTTGGCATTTGTCAGAGGTGTTATTCCCTTATTGCTTTGAAAGTGCTGCACATTTTTGAGAACGCGAATTCCTAGCCAGCAGGTAGAAAAACATAATTTGGCAATGTTGATCCATCTCCGTTCTTTTGCATTACTTGGAGGTACTGATTTTCAAAAGTATATACCTGTAAGTACCAGTTATTATGGCTCCACACAATATGCTCCCCCAATCTCAGCCACATTGATGCAAATGATGCTGATATGTGACTATAAAGCTAGAAACATTCTATAATTATATATATATATATATATATATGTCAGAAAAGTTTCGCTTATGTGTATAAGAAATAGAAACCAAAGAAATGCGTTAAGCAAGTTTATTGATCCATACATTCATCAATAATTTCAGCACCAACATTAGTAACAATCTCATTATTTACATTATTAACTTTAACACTACTGTTTATATTTAAACTGTCATGAATTGCCTTCAGCGCCTGCATAACCTCTTTGTGATTATTCTCCTCTGCAGCCCTGATTTCTGTGAGCAGCTGCACCAAAATGCAGTCCACAGACACGCTACTGACGCTAACATTTTTCAGATTGATTATCTGATGCTTTACATCTCCTAGAACTTCTTTATCCTCTCCCTCCACTGTAGAAATATCTTCTGCTTGGGAGCTATTGGCTTCAGTTGTTACGCTAATGTTTTCATACTTGCACTTCTCCACGTACATCTTGGTCATATGCTCGTAGTAAGGCCAAGTTATATTCTCAGTATTCTCGCTCTTGGATAGCTGTTTGTATCTCTGTACTAAATTCTGCCAGCACTTGCTTAATTGCTCGATTGAGTATTTACCTTGACATTGCAAGAGTGACTGAATGATCAGCCATCCATCTCTAGCAGTGTATTTTCTGCCAGTGAATAAGTGCCTATGGTTGTATCGCAGTTCAATCAGTTTCTTTATGAAGCTTTGCCTTTCGTCGTTACTAATGGACTGGTTAAGAAGAGACTCACCTTTTTCGTCTTCGTTCTCACAGTCTTTTCCAAACGCCCGGTCAATTTGTTCGAAATACGGCCATGTTACTGCCTCAGTGTTCAACGTGGTGTTTTTGATCTGTCTGTATCGAGTCATCAAGTTCATCCACTTCTTCTTTATCTTGGTAATAGTGACATACTCGGGAGCTCCGTTCTCTTTCAACTCCTCGAACACAAGTTTCCAGCCTTCTGAAGCGGAGTTTCTTCGACGGGTGAACATTTTTGAGTGTTTCATTCTGAGATTGATGAGCACTTGCACCCATAGCGGTTCAAACTTGATGGACTTAGGTTGAACGTAAGTTTGAGCAGTCTCAGGAAGTATCTCGGTCTCTTCCTGCTCCTTTGCGATTTCCATTTCGACTTGAACTAAGTTTATAAGTTGACATGCAATTAAATAAACTGTTTGACAGATGAGTACTACAGCCAACTTATCATATGAGTGATCCTGGTGGAAATTATCGCATACAGGGCGATGCACTGGTGGCAATAGTGAATTTTTCACTGAATGCAGTTTTTGTCATTAAATATAGAAGCCACTAATGGATTAAATTACTAACCTAGTATAAACAAGTATGCAAGTTATTGATTGGCGCCAAATTAACGTAGATTTTGTGCACACTTTTGTCTAGATCTGTTTACCAAAGTGAACCTGTATGAACCGATAAATCCACGGACACAACTTTCTTTCGGAAGATCATCTCAGTATCCAACTGTACTGGGTGTAGTCTCGTACAGCAGGGCAGACATAATCTGTGTTGCGATGTGAATAACTTAGTTATTGTTAAAACAGGGGTAAGTTGAATGCGGCAAACAAGCGAAAACAAATATTTAATTCGTGATTTTGGAAGGCTAAATTACGAAAAGCTGTTTCCATTAAACAGTAGCAATGGCGAAATACTGAAAATAGTAGATCAACTTGCTTGATGCCAGCTCGGTTTTTTTAAACAGCTGTTTATGTTGTGTGTGATTCGAGCAGACACTTGGCAAACATCTAGTTGAACTTTATATGTCAATTAATGCGGGTATATCATTGTAACTTTCATTTTACAGATCCAATAAGATTCAAGTGATTCATGTAATTTGATATAATAGATTTTCTGGGACATGCTGAGGCTCCTCAATCTTGTAGCGGTAAAATTACTACTCACAATGCGAAAGTAAATGTTTACCTCAGAAATCTTAGGTTCAAAACGAAAGTAAGACTCAAAGCTCCAGCTGTCTCTGTTCAATTTCATAGTAAATTCAAGTTTGTCTCCAATGTATAGTTTTGATGTTGTTAGGTATGAATTTTTGTTAGTAAACCATAGATTGGGATTCGACACTCAAAAAAATAATAGTAACGAAAAAATCAAAACTATCTACAGCTGACCAGGTAAAGGTTCAACGTTGAGGTACATCCCCTTCCCCAACGTCGACGATTATCTCATATTAACAATTAACGATAGAAAGATCTGCTTTCATTCACGTTAATCTACTATTTGCAATCCACAAAGAGTTTCACAGTTTTCTGCAAACGTCTGCAACGCTAGAACTATATGGGTGCTTACGCAATTTTACGTATTCTCAGAGAAATATGAATCTAATATGATATTTCAACAACTGTCAAAATGACAGACTTGTATGTACTCGCATCCGAGTGGCGAGGATATCGTAGAGCAAAACCAATCACACGATAGTTCCTTCTGCCTAGACCGAATTCATTGGCAGCTACAGACACTACATCCGGAAGTCAGTAGCACCTGATGTTGATAACAGGATTTGAATCTTTGCTAAATCTAGACATTGCACCTATTTCCGACTAATAATGAAACCCATTACAAGCGTAATACTGTTAAGAATAAATAAGGATGATTATTCAGAATTTTGGATCAACGGTGATGCTTATTGCATTAATAAGTGATCAACATCTTGGATGCGTACATACTACAAAAAAATATCGTGAAGTTTTCTACAAAGAATGTCCTGCGAGTCATCCCTACGGAGATATAGCTTCCTAAATTAAGCCATTAGGCCAATAGAAGCCGGTTATGACTTAGATTTTCAGTAGCGGACTAGCCATTACACAGTGTTGCTAAATTTTCATACCATGACCAATAACGGCTCAAACTCGATATTTTTGAAAACGTGTTCTATAATGATACTGATAAAGTGGACCGCTTTGGAGCAAAACAGCTTCATTTCAATTTTGCCTCACACTACAGCCGCTGTCAAAGAACCTCTAGAAAAATCTAAATTTGATTGAATGATGTTTTTAGTTTTTAGGGTCGCAGTATCATAACACAGGTACACAAAATAAAAAAACTATTTGTGCTGAGAGTCCCACTTTATTTTTCATATCTGTATTTCAACGCTAATAAATCTGATGTCAGAAGATCCTACTGTTTGCGGGTTGGTTAGTCCTATCTCTATTACTCCAACGATTTTCAGACCTCCGCCTGGCATTTTACCTGGGCTCTCCAAATTAGCGGAGAAGATAATAGAAGCCCAGCTCCGATCGTATGCAAGCAACAATAATATCTTTCTATCTAATCAATGGGGGTTCCGTCCAGGATATACAGGGTGCGTCATCATTTATGTCGGTATTGAAACATCGAATGACTTTGATATTTACCAACCGAGTGATTTTGTTATACGTGTTTCTGAAACGTCAATTAACTACAATTTCGCCATGAACCGCTTTACACCGAAACAACGCGCCGAAATAGTCACAATGTACATTGAAAATCGTCGTTCAGTTGTGTTAACACAACGTGCATATCGTCGCAAATATCGTGGCAAACTGGCACCGTCTGACAACACCATTCGTCGTTTGGTTTCGAATTTTCTTGAGTACGGGGCAGTAGGAGATCCTCAATATACCGTTGATCAACGACCAAGACGTTCCAATGGATTGGTTGAAGCGGTCAGAGACAGCGTTGCCCGGAACCCAAAAGTGTCGTATCATCACCGCATCAGTGGAACCACGTTGCGGCGCATTTTGAAGGATGATTTGCATTTGTTTCCTTATAAGGTGCAGCTAACACAAAAAATATTGCCAACTGACCATCCACGTCGCTTGGAATATACCCAAACAGTCGCTCGCATGGTTGATGCTCAACCTGATTTTTGGAAGCAAATTGTGATGACCGACGAGGCCCATTTCATGCTCTCTGGCGGCGTTAATAAGTGACTGTTTGGGCCGGCGTTTGCGCCAAAACCATCATTGGGCCATTTTTCTTCAACGAAAACGAAAGACTCGATGGAAATCGATATCGGTGGATGTTGGCTCATTATGTCTGCCCACAAATGGGTGAAAAAGTGAAAAAGGTCTTGATAGTTACTGGTTTCAACAAGACGGTGTACCATGCCACACTCCAAATGGAAAACTCCAGTTTCTGCAACGAAAATTCCCTGGACGTCTGATGTCAAAAAGAGGTGACATTGACTAGCCACCCAGGTCTCCAGATTTGACCCCACTGGACTTTTCTTGTGGGGTTATTTGAAAAGTCAAGTGTACGCCAGCAAGTCCCAGATCACTGAAGAACTCAAGGCAAACATTCGTACCGCAATCGCGGCTACACCACCAGAGATGCTCGAAAAAGTAATGGAAAACGCAGGAAAACGGGCACATTTTGTTTTGGCCAATAAAGGTGGCCACTTGATAGATGTTTTGTTCAAAAACTAGTCCCAATAAATTGTAAAGGATCATATTTAATAAAAATACCCGATATATAGAAATCAGTTTTTCTTTTTCAAAGTTATTTCATGTTTACATACCGACATAAAAGATGGCACACCCTGTACTATATGTAGTTGCGCCACTGCTCTTACTCACATTATAGATGAAGTTATAGGAGCTCACGATAGAGGATATTGAACAGCATTAGTTTTACTTAATTAAAGTAAAGTCTTTAATTGCATTGACCACACTATTGTGATTGCGATTTTGAAATCAATCAGCGACAAAAGCAACTGCGCTGATCTATTAGCGCCCTACTTGGATGGCACGGTGCAACAGGTAAGGCTGAACGGAAAGCTGTCGGAAGCTAAAAATGCCATTTGAGGAGTTCTTCAAGGATCAGTCCTTGAGCCTCTGCAATGTACATTATATACCAGTCAAATTACAAAACAACTGGAATTCTGTGCATCGCACGTGTGTGCTGATGGCAATCAGTTATAGGTACATCATATTGCCTGATACAAACCCAAGATAAAGACTTGGGAACAGCACATTCATCTTTAGATTACAAGCTTCTGTTGAATCCTAAGAAATCTTCTGTTGTAGTATTCGAAAGTAATCAGTATATTGGATATAACTCATCAAAAATAAAAAATGCTAAAAAGAAAATTTAAATGTCCTCTAAAAATCTATTATTCATAATTAACAATAACTTATGATTCAAACAACATGTTGAGAAATATCCTCAAAGGGCTTTTTCTCAAGACTTTTATACTCCCATAAAACGTATATTACGCGTGAAACTAAAAGATTGCTATGTATGTTCATGTTCGTTCTTATCACAATTCTCATATGCCCCTTACTTTTAACCATGAAATATCTACTCGAATACAACGAGTTCAGAACACTTGTATACGTTTCGTCCTTGATATACACAAATATGAGAGAGTTAGCCATAAATTGCATTGGCAGAATACGAAACGCCATTTCGAGGTAGTCAATTTATGCTTTTAGCATAAAATTCTTTCCACCGAGATCCCGCCTTACTTATACAATAAAGTGAGATTGAGAAGAGCAGTTCATGATGTCAGCATCCGTTCCAATGATAATATTTCGAATCCATCACATAAAACGCCAGTATACCAAGAAGCTTCAAATATAATAAATACAAAACCTACAAATCACCTCAAACTTTCAAATGTATATAGATTTAGGAAAGCTGTATGGAAAATGTACTTAGATGTATGTGATTAGCTTGTCGTGTATTTTTAGTTAGGTTAGGTACTGTTAGTGTTGTATCGATTTTGTTTTATTATAAAAACCAAGTAAATGAAAGAAATGTAACCTATTATACATATTTATATTAAACCTGTGACTTTAAGTTTCGAATGTAGATTGTGTGATTTTGTCTCTAGAGGGCAAATGGAAGAGCACCCTGTGGGGAACTCCCCATTTTTTATTTTAGCATTTATTCTGGTGTGTGTATATCGTACTTGTAAACCCTGAATGTAAACTATAAAGGCATAAAAAAATAGGAGGTCGCTGCACATATATGAAAGTAATTTAGGCATTAAGATCACATATTTTGGTATTATTGGTGCATATCTTTAGGGATCCCTAAGAGATGACTTCAGATTTGTTTTTCGATTTTGTGGACTTGTGTAATCGATAATACTTACTGCTGTTTTTCTTAAAAA